AGATCGTATCTATATAAATTCAATGTTTCGTCGTGGTACAAAACGACCACGTTTTAGCGTTGGTGGTCATACTATTTTTGAACATGATGATTCATCAAATCATTCTGGTCTTGGTATGGCCGATTATGAAGAAGATTCTTCATCTCAACAACAAGCAACAACAACAACAAATAGTTCTGATTCAAATTTTCTTTTCAATCAACTTATACCCGATCGACCACGACGTATTCAAAAGTCAATAACTAAAACTCATAATGATGATAATACAAATTTAAATGCATGTCTTCATCATCTTTTACGAATACTTTCACGTAAAGATAAAGAAGGTTTTTTTCAATATCCTGTTACTGATCAAGTAGAATTTTTATTGTTTTTTTTTTTCATCAAAATAAATAAAATTCTATTTTGTTTTTGTAGTTTGCACCAGGTTATTCACAAATAATTTTACGACCAATAGATTTTTCAACAATGAAAAGAAAAATTAATCAAGATGATTATTCAAATATAATTGAATTTCGTTCAGATTTTGAACTTATGTGTGATAATGCTATGAAATATAATCGTCCAGATACAATTTATTGGCAAGCAGCAAAAAAACTTCTAGCAACAGGAACAAAATTAATGAATAAAGATAAATTAATAAGTTTTCGTCGTAGTCTTGAATGTTTTTCACGTCTTACTGAACGTGAATTAGGTTTTCGTATTGATTCATTAAATCATAATATTGATGAACAATTAACAATATCACAAGAACAATATGATTCATCAATAAATGAACATGAAAATTTTTCAACAATAAATTTAAATCAAACATATCCACAACGTAAACCAAAATTAATATTAAAATTACCTAAGTTTTATGAAAAAATTTCAACATCAACACCTGATGATAATAATAATAATAACAATAATAATAATAATAATACTAATAATAATAATGATGATGATGATGATGGTAGTGATGAATTATCACCAGAAGAAATTCTTTCACAAGCACAACAAGCTGCACAATGTGTACATGATAAACTTCGTTTACATCATTCATTAAATACATATACAATTACATATCAACGTACAAATAATATAACATCATTACGTGTTATAAATCAAGATGATTTTAGTCAACATGCAATAACATTAACAGAATTAAATGAAGATAATTTAACTTCAACATTACCTATTGTTAATGATAATGAAAAACGTTATCAATTATTAGCACGAGATTTTCTTGATAATGGACCATTTTCATCAAATATATCACAATATGATTCAATATTTTCTTCTATGTCAAAAGAAGAACTTGATTTATTAACACATACATATGGAAGTGAATTTTCAGCACAATATGCTGTATCATTAATGGATTATGTTAAAGATGCTGGAGATTTAGCATTAGCATATGTTGATAGATTTTTATCAGTATTAACAAATGGTGAACATGATAATTTTATTATGAAGAGACGAGAAAAACAACAAAAAGTCGAAGAAGAAGATCAAAACAATATTGCCGATACACTTTCAACTCATAATGGTAAAAAAACAAACTAAGAAAATGTTTTCTACTTTTTTTAAATTACCGAGAGAACGTATATTTGCATAGAAACATACTTTAATGGAAATAATTTATAGTAAAAATTTCAAATCTTTCAATTGCTACTATCCTTAGATATGGTTATAGTGAAGCGTGTACTCATACACAATGTCAAACTCTAATGTTCTTTTGTGAAACACGATCGAAAAGAAGTGTTGAAATTTGGACTCATGAACCGTGACAGATATTTCGATATGCCGTTAGCAAGGACTCGTTATTTAAAAGCAAAAAACTAATTAATATCGAATTATTAACGCATTCGTAGCTCATTAATTAGTAATTAATGAAAGAAATGTTGATTGCTATAGTAAGAAAAATGAATCTGTCTCACAGATGACGCTTTCTATAGCGTCGTAGGTATTTCGATAGTTTAGTCCAAGGATATGTGTGATGTGCTCTTTAATAAGTGAAACAGATCAATCATGTTTCATATTGCAAGGATCATGCTAAAAACTTTTTTCATGAATATCTGCAGTCAAAGAACTCTGAACTCTTGTAAGGATGTTTATAGCTCATTAGAACTTATATGATGCAGATAGTCCTGACTCAAAAGCGATTTGACACTTAGAAATGTTATTTCGTATGAGAAATTTATTTTTGAATATAGTGCAAATACTTTTGTATATATTGTTAATGAGTTTTAGATCCTACAGAAATATCATAGAGGAAAATAACTGACTTTATAACTTTTTTGACTTTAATGACTCTAAGAAATATATAACTCCTGACAAAAGTCTTTCTGTTTCTTTTTTTATGCGAAGTATGATAGCATCAAAAGAAAGACATGAGATAAAAAGTAAGTGTTTACTCAAATATTTGATTTTTGATACTTCTCTGCCAGCTTATCATGCGATGTATGTGAAAATTTTGGACAAATTCCTTCATGCTAAATACGCTAATAGATTGACTTGAGATTCGAATAGTTTTGCTTTCAATCAATATTTTTCTGTATGATGAGATATAGGAATCGCGTAATATTTTCATTAGTTGTAATAAAATGATGTCCATTTCGTGATGTAAAGAAAAAAACTAAGGTAAGATATAGTGAGCCCGCTCACTTCAATGTTTGTGCAACTGAAATGAATTAAAGTGAGAAGTGTGCAAGAGATATGTTAGATACTAATGCAGAGTCGAAGGCGAGATGAAGTTTTTGCTGTGCAGATCGTTGTATCTTTTCTTATGACTTGTTCTCGTCGCATTCCATCGACTCTCGACTATCTCCTGCTTAATTCCTATTTCCTCTACCGTATATTTCTGTATCTCCCACCATCCTTATCTCAATTTCTGCTTCTACTTTCAGCTGTTTCTCTACTTCCCGCTATCTTCCTCCTAGGTTCCGTTTTCTCCGGAGTTTTATTTGAACTATAGAAAATATAATTTGCCACAAAATAGAACTTATCGAACTGTTATTTAGAAGAAGTATGCGAGTTAATTATGAGAAACTGAATTATAGTGTTGGATAGAGCTCGCCAACTGATACTTAGAACATCGACCAGGAGCTCTGGAACATGTTCTTGGGAGAATCGTCCCTAAGATTACTCAAATTCGTTGCTAACTTCAACTACATCTTGAATCTTAAGTAATGCTGCTTCATTTGAACTGGTAAGCTGACTTATAAGATTGTAAAAGTTATCATCATGGTAGGTAAATGCATCGAAAGGCAATACTTAAGTGTCCATAAATACTGTTCGTGGAGCGATAAATGTAAAAACGATATGAATATAAAATTAAGAAATGACAGGTCTCTAAACAAAGTAACAACGACTGCTTACACATGGAAATGAGAAGGATAAAACTAATAGGTACCTAGCATAAACGAGTTACATATATGTATCTTTTTCTTTCATCTATTCTGTATGTGTATCCATTAGAAACGAGCGTAAAGAAGAGTGATAGAAAAGTCTACAATGCTTTGATTTTTTCCAAGCCTTCGTTCTCGAGATATTATAGCAAATAGTGCACAAACAAAGCTATCAATAAGATTAGTTGATTGTGCAAGTTTTACTTTTTCTAATATCGTCTATCCTATGAGAATTTTAAGTTAAATCAAAAAATATTTTATATATTTAATAGTTTCATCAATTGATTCAATATCATCTTCTGATCAAATTAAATTAGAACCACAAATTCATACTGATAATACAATACAACATCAACAATCAGATACAAAATTGAATGAAAATTCTAAATTACTTACACAATTACGTAATACACAATATAATCGTTTATCTCAATCGTCAAATGAACTTCATCAAGGAATACCATCAAAACAAACAAATGATTCGACTAATGAATATGATTTAGTTGAAAAAGTTCTTTTTAATTTTAATGATATAACATCATTATCAAATGGACCTGAAAAATTAATATCTTCTGAAAGTATACATCATAATCTTGGTATTATTAATAATAATGAACCATCATTATCAACATTTGACACATTGTAATATTTTATTGATTTTGTACAAACGAATTATTTTTGTTTTTTTTTCTTTTTGTTTTCTTTTTGTTATTATTATTGTATAAAGAAATCAACAGAATCAAAGTTAGGGACAGTGTTTGATTCCTCAGTGTATGTATTTCTATTTTTCAGATTATGATACTTGAAATACAAAAATAATATATCTCGATTACTATGTAAAAATATTTCGTTCAAAATAATTGCAAAAGTTTTAAGAACATGTTGGATTGGTAAAGTTCATTGCGTGCACTTTTGGAATTCAAAAGAAAACCTCCATCCACTAAAAAAAATTGGTCTCGTTTTTCATCGTTTATCGAGTTTTGTAGAGCTACAATAGGACATTGTAAATAGGTAAAAATAAAATTTTTAACGTATCGATTGAATTCGAAATCGAAACTTTTCTAAACGATCTTTGCTAGCGAATAGCGAAAGAAAAATTATCGAAAAGAGTTATGGCAAAAAAATATATTCATCTAAAAAATATTTCAGATGTTATTAAGTGACTTTATTGAACGGTAAGATATAGAATTTGAGATTAGAGATAAAGAAAGAACTGATATTCATACTCACATAAAGAAACATATTACCTTATTGCTGATTTTATGCTTGAATATTTTTGATTCACTAGTATTTTTGTTGGTCTAGTTAAACATGGATTATTTGTCGATATGCAATAAAATATCTTCATCTTGTTGGTTGAGAATATTGAAATCTACTTTTTTCTCTCGACATGTGTTTTTTTCTCCACTCTTTCGTTAGCTATTGTTTTCTTTCGATCAATTTAACATCATTTGTGACACTATTCGTTGTATAGAAAATTTGCAGGTAATAAAAATAGGTGTATCCCTTAGTAGTGTATTCGATTTATTACAATAATACATCATTGATTAATGGAGTTTATTTTTAGATCTGTTCTGAGATATTTTTATTTTTTATTAAAAAATCGATATGTCGAATACTGATCTGAAATTTCAAATACCACCGGTAATTAAAATGAATTTAGATTGGCTTGTTTTGTTTTTGTTTCTGAAAATATGCTTTCATTTTGAATAGATTCGTTCATTACGAGAATTTATTGAAGGTAATGATTGGACTAAACCAAATTTAAATCCTAAGGAATTTGATGAACTTCAAAAACAAGTCATTTCAAATTTAATTTATTTTCAATCAAATTATGGTGTTATTTTCATACCTTTTCTTTTACTTGTTGGGTAAATTTTTTTTTGTTTATTATTATTATTATTATTATTATTATTTTTATGTTTAGTTATTTTCGTCCAGCAGCAATTCTTTCTGATCTTCTTGTTATAGCTCTACTCTTGGTTGTTTTTTTCTATTTAACACGTGAGAGAACTATAATAACAATTCATTTTCGTGATCGTCCAATTCTTATACTTATACTTGTTCTTGTTGCTGCTTTTATAATAATCAGCACGTTTAGTTCTGTTTGGGTTTTTTTGATTGGTTTTGTTCTACCATTAGCATGTAAGTGATAAGAATTAGATAATATTGGTTTTTTTTTAAAATTTTATTATTTTATTATGATATTTAGTAATTGTTGTACATGCAACACTTCGTAAACCATCATTTCAAAATAAAGCAGCTAATGTAGTCGAGAATCTTTCATTAAAAACTTCTCCAATGGGTTTTGTACTTGGTTGGTTAGGTTTAAAATCAATCGGTAATCAATCAAAACCATCAACACAAACCAAATAAATATTTTCAATCGTTTTCTCTTTATTTTTTGTTTGGTTATCTTTTAAATCACACAACGAAAGATAAAGAAATCGTTTGTCATTTTCTTTCCATAGTGCTTTTCCTGTTCTTTATTAGTGTTTTCTTTTATTCTCTATATAGTGATCTGTTTTTTTTTGTGCTAATTTACAGTAGTGGGTGGATGTTTCAAGTGTGTGATATTTTTTTTCCTTCATATTCAAGCTTTATCTTCATATTTTATTTTCGCTATTTCTTTTTGTTTTTAGAGGATTTTTTTCTAGTAGAAGTGTTGTTTTGTTTTTGATGTAATAAAACATACGCGAAATAGAGTTAATCAAATGGTTATTTGAATGAGAGAGAAAATTTCCTATCAAGCGAATATACTGGAAGCAAACAAAGAAAAATTTTCAAATATTAGTTGAATTTATAAAATGTATTCTACTTCTTCGTAGAATTAAGTGGAGTCCTTATCTTTGGGAATCTAATAATAATTTTTATTTCGTTCTATTCCTGTTGGAAACAATTGTTTCGACTCGAATACTAATTGGATTTTTTCTAGTGCTTACGACAACAGTAAAAAATTGAAAATAAATCTTATTGAATAATTGTGGTTTTCACTGTATATATGTAAAAAATATTTTACTCAAAATATAATTGAACAAATAGGGTAAAATTATTGCAAATGTAACAAAGAAATTTTTTATGAATCTTTAT